GTTTGATTACAGAAACTAATAAAGTATTCTCTAAATAATGAAAAAAGAATAAGATAAGACTATAAGAGCGAGAAGCAATTTAAATATGTTCAGGGACCATTTTCATCTCCAGAATTAAGGATTATTTTGATGTTACATCATTGCCTTTTCTCTTTTACTTTCCTTTTTAGTTTTATTTTAGGATTCCCTATTTTTAATGTTCATACAGAGATTTCTTTAACTGAAATACTGAATAGTTTCTTTGGTGTGAAAAACTACAATAGTACACAGGATCCTAATGAGATAATTAATAATGTGAAATAGGAAGCAAAGGGCTAAAGGTGTAAGGAAAGTGGGAAGGGTGGGGGAGAGGTAATAAGGGAGAGGAAAAAAATATGAGAAAGTGAAAAAATGGAAATAAAGTGTTTGTAAAAGGGGAGGGGAGGAGGGGGTGAAGGGAGTTCAGGGACAAGGGGAAAAATGAGAATCAAGACCTATTATGTAAAGGTACAAGATCCCAATGATGAATGTAATTGTATTATATACCTAGATTGTACCAATAACCTCAATAAAAAGAAAAAAAAATGTCTCTCAAATGAGACACTACAGGGGATATTATTGGATAGTTGGCTTCTATTTTAGATTATGGTGACTCTGCGATTGTTCAGCAGACTACCTCAATTTCCTACTTTACCTCTGGTAAAATTTAATTTATTACTTACAATCTCCTAGGAAGTGGTAACAAAGTAAGATTTAACAATAGGCCGAGTGTGGTGGCGCATGCCTGTAATCCCAGCACTCGGCTGAGGCAGGAGGATTGCTCTGAGTTCGAGACCAGCCTGAGCTACATAGTCTCACTACATAGTGAGACCCTGTCTCACAAAACAAAACAAAACAAAAAAACAACGTATAAGTTTTTGTCCAGCAGACTAACAGGCATTGGGAAGATTAAAACCTGAAGGATAATTGCAAACATGATCAGGTACTGAGTCAGTTCAAACCATGTCATCAAGTGAGGCATGCTGCTTCTCTCAGACACAGGATGAAAACGGGAGAACAGCGTGAATGTGTAGGTGATAGGATGAGAGTGTATCTGTCCGTGTTTGTCATAATGAGTGAATAGATTCATTTTCTAACTTAGAGAAATGTAAAAGGCCTACCACCCTCTGTCTCTCTGCAGTGGAGGTGTATTTACTGGTGCTATACAGCTCCACATAACAAATGACCACAAACTTAGACACTTGCAACAACATACCTTTATCATCTCACAGTTCTGTAGGTCTGAAATCTGGCCTGCTATAGCTGGGTTCTCTGCTCAGGTCTCACCAGGCTGAAGCCAAGTGTTGTTGGCCAGGCCATTTTCTCAGCTGGAGGTGTGAGGAAGGAGTGATCTGCACCCAGGCTTCCTTAGGTTGCTGGCAAAATGGATTTATTTGAGTGGTGCACTTCATGGCAGCATCTGTGCTACTTCATGTCTCTAACTTTTAGACCCAATGTGAAAAACCTCACCTTGGGCCTAATAAGCTAATCTACCTTTTTATTCATTGAAAGACTCGAATCACATCTGCAAAGATCTCTTCACCTTTTCCGTGGAATGTAATGTAATCACCAAAGTAACGTCCCATCTTCCCCTTTGCCATTTTTTGTTGAGTGAAAGCCAATCACAATCTGTTTGCCTTTTCAGGAAGGGAAGAATACAAGGCTATGGCTGCAGGTTTCCTAGGGGATGTCTGCCATAGTATGCAGTAGTTTAAATAACATGCATGACTAGTTTCTCTGACAGAAAGGTATTTTTTTTTTTTCGCGTTTGGTAGTGGGTAGTGTCTTAGTTACTTCCCATGTTGCTGGGACACAATACCCAATACCCACAGATTAAAGTAGGAATAGTTTATTTTGTCTTACAGTTTATAGAGGTTTCAGTCCATGCTCAACTGACTCCAAGGCAGAGTAGGATGGCAGAGAGATATGGTGGAGGAGAAGCACATTCATGGTAAGACACCAGGAAAGTGGAAAGCGAGGGAGGAGTGAGGGAGATGCACCCTTCTAGGCCATGCCTTGCTACCTCCTCCTGGGCGTCACCTCCCAACATTGCATTTAGCTATAATCTTGTCTGTGGACCAATCCACTGGTGACTATCAGGCTCCTATGACCTAATCATTTCCCAAAAACCCCACCCCTGAGTGCATGAGGCTGTGGGGGAACGTGTCGATATAAACTATCACAAGTAATTTTGAACTTTAGAATATAGACTCGATATAGCAATAAGGCCTTCACCTTCAGGCCACTTCTAAAGACCACAGAACCGCTTTGCAGGTGGTGAAGAGCCAGAGTGCTGTGCAGAGCAGTGAATAGGGCTGCTTCTTGCAGCTGTATGTTTTTCCTGTTGGGAAGGGAAAGGTCATGAATAATTTTTCTTTTGTCAGCCTCTGAGATTTTGGCGAAATAACCTGCAAAATAATTAACATCTGATGTGAACAGCAAAAAGAAAAAAAAAGAGAAAAACAAACCAAGAAAGCAAATTATGACTAATCATGTCTGTAGACATTATTTTCATTTATTACCTTTCATTATTTGCTTTTGCCATTTTGGAGGTTGCAGTTAATTTGGGGAGATGGAGAGAAAATGGAGATAGAATATTTTTTAATTTATGCCCTTGGCCGGAATATGAACAATAATCAGAAATAGGCCACCAGATATCCTGCTACATGTGAAAACATAAAGCCGTAGTCAATTTGCATGGCTTTCTCATCAGTGTAACCCGGGGCTGGGGCTTATTTTCTGTCATTTACTTGATGGAGTGCCTGGCACACAGTAAGCACTTAAGTCACTGTGTAATGAAGGCAGGAAATTAATCTTCCTAGATGGTAGACAAAAGAGTGCAAGGAAATGGAGATTTGAATTCAATGAAAATGAGAATTTACAGAAACCTAGGGCTGGATTGGTAAGAGATTACAGGGTAGCAAGTGATTAGGGTCCAGAAGGAGGTACAAGCACAACTGTTGCTCAGACTTCTCAGGATCAGCAGAGCACCAGTTGGATGGTGAACTTGAATCTAGTGATGGTGAACTCTTCTGTGGTTAGTGGCTCCAGTTTATCATTTGGACTCAACGTTGTGGACATGATGTTTCTAAAAGTTATCAGTTGGACTTTACTAACCTGTGGCAAGCTCCCCTTTGAAAAGTCAGTCCTAAACTGACAAGCCCAGAACAAATAATTTCTTCTCATGGAATATGGTGGCTTTTGCCTTTATACTGTAATCTCACCCTGCTTTTGATCTAAGGACCATCTTCATATGTGCTGCTTTCTCTCACATATAGTACTTACATGTGAGCAAATCTGTCATTTTACACAAATCTTTGAGTTATGGGACCATTAGTAACCTCTCTGTAGAGCACCAGTTTCTCCTGCCTTGACAGGCAGTTAACTTCTCCTAACAGTCACCATTGGGTCAGGGCTTCTTTTTCTTTTATCACATGAAAGAGGAAAAGTGCTAGCAATCAGAAGAATTCAAGGATTAACTAGCACAGAAGGAGGTTCTCCAAGGTCTTTGAGGAAGTTGAAAGTAGGTTTCTCTGAGAGGAAATTTCTTGGGAAAAAGACTCACATCTCGATTCCTACTTCCTTTCAGGCTCTGTGCCCTCCTGGCACCTCATCCTCTGGTTGGAGTAGGATGGTGTGGCTTTGTTTTTTTATTTTTTGTCCCCTGCCCCACCCCCAGGTACCAGGGATTGAATTTAGGATCTTGTGTTTGCTAGTCAGGCACAGCACCATTGAGCTTAATCCCTGGCCCAGGTGTGGCTTTGTTTTCCCCCTCACCCTCATGTCTTTTTGTTACTGGTTAGCAAATCTTTCCAGAAATTTTGGTGAGGGTAGTTTTCTTCAGTGGCCATATGGCCTGGATTGAGTCTAAAGGTAAATACCTGATTGACAGCAGTGACTAGGAATACGTTGTATTAGGAGTAGAAGGCTAAGGAAAAGCGCTGCTGGATGTTTGACCTCATCACTATAAATGAATGAATGATATTAGTTGCAGAAGGACAGAGCTATAACAAGATGTGTCAGTGCAGAAAGCCTGGAAAGACCTTGGCAAGACTGTATTAGGACAGATTGGAGCGTCTGCCTGCTCAGAAGTGTGAGCCATACGGAGCATATCACACCTGTGCGACACAATCTGTACTAGCTGCCCACTGTTTCCAAAACAGTGATTTTTCTGGTTTTAGGTGAATTATACAATTAATATGTTGGTGTCTGGCTATTGGTGATAGCAAAACAGTGTCTAACATTTGGTCCTGGCTTAATGGACCACTTAGAGATGGAAGTAGCAAGCTCAGTTGGTTACGCTTTTTAGAGGACCCTTTCACTGATGCCTTGGGGTTTTGGGACCTTTCCTCCAGAACTCCAGGCAGTCCTTTATGGTTTAAGCTTTTACCAGTCTCCTAAACTGTGCATAGATAACTCATGCTTCTTTTTAGTTCTTAATGATTAGAAAGAAATTTACACAGTGTCTACCTCCTGGTAGGTTCTTCGGTGGTATTTTTATAATTACTATCTGTCACATGTAGGGTATAATAACTTCAGAATGCTGTTTCCAGTTGTTACAGTTCTTTCCCTTTGAATTTATTGACTTGTTAGCCACAAACAATAAATCAGTTTATATTCTTTTAAAGTCATTTTGAAATGTTAACTTCTCTATTTTTTTAAATTTTTCCACTCTCATTTCTTAATTTTATTCCTGTTACTTAGTTCTTTTAGGCTTGCTTTTGCCACTTTCAAGGTGTTTTCTTTAAATCTCTGAATGTGATATTGGTAGGAAGATGGTAGGGATGATTCCTACAGAATGAACTGTTAAGTTTCTGAAATGAGGTCTTGAATAGCTTTTCCTCTCTCTAATTGAGTCCCCAAGCCTTAAGTCTTGTAAATAATTCTGAAGATAATTAATTGGGAAAATAAGAGAGATTAATTTCTTTGCCTCCCACTACTTTTTGATGTGTCAGTTTCTCTGTGCATATTTGTTTAATAGGAGAACCCAAAGCCACTGGTGAGCACTGATTCTTGTGAGCAACATGAGAGGATTTGGCAGTTGATGATAAAGGTGATTTAGTCTCTTAGGAGGGTGTTTCAGATTATAAACAATTTTCTCTAACTTGTGCTCCCATTTGATTGGCTAATTACAAGCTAGGTTGGGCTGCTGTGTAAGTTGGAAAGATAAGATTATGTTAATATTGACAGATAGTGTAACGAGAATTTCTATTTTCTATTTTTTACTAAACTCCCTTGAATTTTAATCTGTGTGTATTTTTGTCTGTCCTCATTTAGGATTATAACTGGGTAACTTATTTTTCCTATAAATGCTTCAGTTAAAAATAAGGATTGGTAAAGATTAAGGCTAAAAATACTGCTGCTCTTGTCAGTTCTATCCTCTTCTCTGAAATTTGGCCAATCTTTAACTTTGAATACAGTTCAGCTCCTCACACAGGCTGGGAGTAGCCACAAATGAGTATGATTGGGCATTAATTTCATTTTAAGTGATTGATTAATTCTTTGGAGGCCCATTGTTATTTCAGCAGCCTCTAACACCTGGATGGTGGTACTGGACCCTATGAAGCCTGGTGGACCTTTTGAAGTGATGGCACAACAGTTTCTAGGTACAATGACCTCTACCTTGAGAGTTCATGATGTATTATTTGGAGATGTCTGGCTTTGCAGTGGACAGAGCAACATGCAGATGACAGTTTTACAGGTAATTTGCAGAGTTTAAGCAATACAAAATAATAGTGATGATAGTGAAGAAAAAAGGAAGAGAAGGGAATAAGGAGAAGGAAGGCTGCTTCTTTTTATTAAGTACTTAGCATGTGCTAAGATTTGTTCCAGCTGCTTTCACATTTTAATTAATTTGATTTGGGGCCAGGGATTTAGCTCAGTGGTTCTGGCGCCTGCTTCACAAGCACAAGGACCAGAGTTCGATCCCTGGTACCAAAAAAAAAAAAAAAAAAAAAAAAAAA